TAAAAGGCACAACAATAACAGAATATGTCCTTCGTTTAAATATAAATAATCCGGGCTCTTTTGAAGTAAAACCGTGGAAATGTTTTGAGAAAGAGAGGTCAAATCCGTCAAACCACGAACGAGGTTAAATTTCCAGAGCGGATTTCATCGGAGGATTTTACCGGTTATGAAAAGTTGTAAATTTTGTAGCGGCCATTGTACAGGAACATCAATACAGAATCCTGCCCAATAAACTGATTGATTCGGGTTAGCACTGCCAAATACATAAAGCACCCAAAATATCCATTATTTGTTCGAAGGGTGCCTTTTTTCGTGATATATATTATTCCGGATCACTACAATCCAACAGGATTTATCATGATTAACAAATCATAATGATTGACATATATGATTCAGCTTTTTTTTTTTCTTTTGCTTTCTCACTACCACTAGCGGATCCAGGATTACATTTTGGGTGGCTTCAGCCCGAAAGTTTTTTTTTTGTTTTGTTTAATGTAACGATAATTACTTTGAATGAAAAAGAAAGAACCTAACTGCCTATACGAAATGGTGTTTAAGTGATTCTTAAAGTCCAGATTCTCCACTCATAACATGAGTGTGTGTGGCTAAAGCAGTCTTGCTCAATCTCCACTGGGTTTAGCCCCAGTGACGCGGTTGAGAGAGAAGAGCAGGGATCTCCTGGAGTCATGCTTTTCCCTCCACAGTTGGAGGGACAAGTCTGGCTCGGAGTTCTCTCGCCTGATTGTAAATAGTGTATATAGGTATGTATGCCTATATACACTATTTACAATCAGGCGAGAGAACTCCGAGCCAGACTTGTCCCTTATAATATTTTTCAATAAATAAGTTTTCAAAAAAAAAAAAATTTAATTTAATAGAAATTAAATGTAATTACACGAACAATAATACTTTTGGAGATATTTTTTAAATAGTTTTTTTTTTTTAAGACATGGTAATATTTTACCATTTTGGGGGGCCTTCAGCTCGAAAGCTCCCCCCTACTCCCTCAGTAGATTCGCCTGTGCACACTACCTAAGTTAAGGAAGCATGTATTAGTGCAGGAGGTTAAAAAAAATGCTGTGCTTGAATCGAAAATTTGCTTTACGTTTTATGTTTCAAACATTAAGGATCAAATTTGCTTAGTTGCCTGTCGTTAAATCGATATAACGGGCATATCATCTTCTATAATTTATCCTATTATTATTAAATTTTCTAAATGGTTCCATACCAATATCATTAAATTCCATCCAACACTTCCGGTTATGCACGCGCGTATTTTCAGAGTTACACCAATATTTCAGAAAAAGCTCGTTCGATTTGACTCGAAGTAGTAAGAAAGATAAGAAGTATCGATAAAAAATTGATACTGTATCAATTTCATTGCATTCCGACTACTTTCTCTTAAATATGCCCAATAATAATAATAATAATAAATTTATTTATTGAGCAATTTTACAAATGCCTTTTGGCATATGGCATATGGCTAATGTTCGTTAGCGAACCTCCTCTCCGGGATTAGCGTGAATACGTGATTGGAGAAGCCTCCCAGTGAAGGCACTCCTAACGTGACTCTTAATGTAGCAGATCTCTGCTCCAGAGGCGCTTGAGTCTCCTTGGTGGATTCTGTGGTAGTGTGTCTGTTAGTAATGTTTGTTCAAGTGGATTAGGATGTCCAGCTAAGGAGTCATGGAAAAGCCATATAATATTTTTTAATTACATCAGTCACTTGTGATATTTGTAGGTCTTTATGAAGTGATTTATTGGTTATGTAGAAGGGACAATGAGTGATATACCGGAGAAATTTAGATTGGAAAATTTGAATAGTCTGTAAGTGTGTTTTTTTGCATGAACCCCACACCTGAGAGGCATACGTCCATATTGGTCTGAGTAGCATGTTGTATATAGTAATTTTGTTAGAAAGTGATAGTTTGTTTTTATGGTGTAGCATTCGTCTTAGTAGTGATAACCGATGGTTCAATCTCTTTTTTAATGTAGTCACGTGTGTAGTCACAATTGTAGTCACGTGTGTAGTCACAAATGTTTAATGTAGTCACAAACCTATTTTCCGTGATACGCCTATATCTTAAAGACCGTATTTTCGATTTGGCTCAAAGATGGAGAGAAGTTAGGAATTGATATGCTAATGATAAAGTAGAAATCAATTTCAAAAAATAATTCCGCTTTCGAATCTTAAATGTTTTTGATAAATATAAGTAAATTTACTTCAGTTTAGGATCTTGTTACTTAGCTTACTCTGTTCATATTTTAATGTACTTACTGTTTATAATTTTAATAAGCTTATTCACATTGTTTATAATTTTTGTCTAAATGTTTTGTAACTTCCACAATTCTCTATATTTTTGTATTTTGTCCGTTCTAGCCCTGAAGAAGACCTGCAAAGTTTGTTCAAAACGTTGGCTTTTAATAAAAATAGTTTTACCACTATAAAGCTATTTTTGTTTTCTTACCTCCTGTTTCCCTAATATTGTAGTGCATGTAGAGTAATACACACCATTGACTCTATTTAAAACCTCCTGGTCGATCCTTCCATCCTGCCCAAATACTGGTAGTTATTTAAATTTTCTAATGGCTCATTATTACATTTTATGAGAGCTTGCCCTTCCATATCTCGGCCGAAGAGCATCGTCTTACTTTTTGTATGGTTTATTTCCATTCCCCTCCTCTGGAGTTCTTCTGACCATTCATTGACAGCCATCTGAAGACTTTCTTGGGTGACGGCAATCAGGACCACGTCATTTGCATAAAAAAGAGCTCGGGTGTCCTTCGCTTACAAACCTTCCATACTTCATCCATGCATATGATGAATAGTAGTGAGCTTAGGCTATCTCCTTGCTTGACGCCTTTATAATGGCGTCCGCTTGACGCATAAATGGCTGATTCAGATCCATTAAGTCACACTATTCCCTTGGGACTCTGGTATACCGATCTGATAGCGCTGATGAGATTGGATGGCACTCGTTTTTCTTGTAGAGCATTCGAAATCTCTTGGCGAGGAATCGAATCAAATGCAGCCTTCAAGTCCAGGAATGCTAAAAGTAGGCTTCTTTCTCTATCCCATGCTTTCTAAACAACCATTCTTAATGAGAAATTATGATCCTGGGTTTGCCTCCTTGGTCTTATAGCCCTGGAGCCAGGGCCCAAAAATCGACCTGACAGGCTAATGTTTGATTGTAAATTACGAAAGTTTATGTTATTCTGAGTAAAAAGAACAACCTTGTCTGCCGTTCCAGAGCCGCTGCTTTAAAAAATGGCGGCTGATTTAAAGAATATTGGGCCAATAATTTGAGGACCGAAACCGAAAATCTATTGTGACAGATATGAGAAAAGTTTTTATTTTTTTAAGTTGTAGATATGGGTTTAGACATGTGAAAAAACAAAATTGCTAACGCGGGCCACCAAGGGAAGAAAACTTTTTATAGCCAAAAAAGTCAGATTTTTTTCGATTTTTTTTTCACCTATAACTCCTAAACGATGCATTAAAGCGAAAAATTTATCGTTTAATAAATTATAAAACGTTAAATTTTGCGTCAAACAAGTACATAAACTTTATAATTTGATTACGCGGCAAGGTATAAAACCACGTTAAACCAACGCTGATTTTTACCAAACTTGTCAAAAGCTGAGATAAATTACTATAAATGGGCCTGTAACTTGAAACTGAGTTCCCTTATAGCAAAAACCTATAGAATCAAAGTTATAAAATTCAGTATCTTTCGAAACATCCTTTATCAAAATCCTTTGCTGTTGGGAGGTGGAAAAGAGGCTTATACTGCATGTAACAGACTCTAAACAAAAATAACTCAGTAGAATAGGCACTCATATTGTTCAAATATTTAAAATAACGTTAACCTTCATTACCAATTTCTAACCATCGGGAGATTACCGATTTTGTTCGCAGTAAGTGACCTACATTAAATTATTTTGTACTCAGTTTACGCAAAATTTGGTGTTCTACAACTTTGATTCTTTGGATTTTTCCTTTAAGGGAACACATTACCAATTTACAGGGCCATTTATAGTAATTTGTCTCAGTTTTTGACAAGTGTGGTAAAAATCAGCGTTGGTTTAACGTGGTTTTATACCTTGCCGCGTAACGAAATTATAAAGTTTATGTACTTGTTTGTCGCAAAATTTAACGTTTTATTATTTATTAAACGATAATTTTTTCGCTTTGATGCATCGTTTAGAAGTTATAGGTAAAAAAAAAATTTTAAAAATCTGACTTTTTTGGCTATAAAAAGTTTTCTTCCTTTGGTGGCCCGTATTAGCAATTTTGCTTTTTCACATATCTAAACCCATATCTACAACTTAAAAAAACTTTTCTCATATTTGTCGCGATAGATTTCCAGTTTCGATCCTCAAATTATTGGCCCAATATTCTTTAAATCAGCCGCCATTTTTTAAAGCAGCGGCTCTGGAATGGTAGAGAAGGTTCTTTTTACTCAGAATAACATACACTTTCGCAATTTACAATCAAACCTTCGCCTACGATCAGGTCGATTTTTAAGCCCTGGCTCCAAGGCTATAAAGCCATGATCCTCTTTCAGATCATGATCCACCAATCTCCTGAGCCTCTGTTCCAATATTCTTGTATTTAATTTATATATTACAGAGGATAGGCATATTGCTCTATGATTCTCGCTTTTGGTCTGGTTGCGCTTGAATATTTCTTTTCCTCCATATTTAATAAATTCTGGCATTATATTATCCCTGCCTGCTGCTTTGCCAATTTTCTCCATAGCCAATCATTTCTCTTACCCCTCCACGAATATAATTGTAGAGTTCCAGATGACCTATCCAACTAACTATTCGAGGCTTAATAAAACCTGAATTTTATTTTATTTTTGTTTTGTAAGGTTCTGTACTGCGATTCTTGTGAATAAATAACTAGAAAAATTTTGCTGAAGTCCTGAAATTAAATTTCCTAATTAATGCTCACTTGATTATTATTATTATTAACAGTTGATTTATTCTGTTGCAGCTTTGAAACCTAAAATGAAGAGCCATTACAGGGGTCACAAGATGGCCATCTGGTTGAACCTGATACCTCAGCTCCACCAGCCTGGGGACCAAGATGTCAGCATGCGTCACCACCACTTCCACGAGAGGGCCAGTCACTACTACGCAGGTCAAATATTAAATAAATAACATTCTATAAATCTATATATATATATATATATATATATATATATATATATATATAAATGAATGTATGTCTGTCTGTCCGTCTGTTTGTCCTTAGTGCATTACTAAACCATTCAACCGATCGCCATGAAACTTTGGGAAGTTGTTCCGTACACTCCTGGGAAGGTTTCTGGCATAGTACTTCAGTTTTACGATAATTTTATATATTTAAAAAAAAAATGTAAATGTTTTTCTGTTCAAAGCAGCAAAAAATGTGTCGCTATAAAATGTACACCAAAACGGCTTTACCGATTTTAACGAAACTTGGCTAAAGTCTTCCCATTGAAACCTTTTTAATTTATGTGTATAATGTACTCTCCCAAAAACAAGCTGAAAAATGTTACGATGGATTCAATATTTTATTTGACGATAACTAAAAAAGTACACAATTTTTGACTGATAATACCCACATTTATTTTAAAAGAATTCTGGATCGCTGACAAAATAAATAAAAAAATCATCGAAATCGGACGGTTCGTTGCACAGTTATTGATTTTTAAACATTTAGTGCTTTCTCTTCAGAAAAAGCCGTTTCCTTTTGCTTCCTCACTACCGAAGGTAGGCAAGCATTTTTTTTTATTTATTGATTAATCGAAAGTTTTATAATTACTACAGTAATTGAAATTATTATTTGAAGAATTTATATGATAATCCTTATGTAGTTCAATACTATTATACGTTTTTTTTTTTATTAATTTTTTAATTTAGTTTTATAAGTTCAACTCAGACTGTTTCTGATGATTATGAATGACGGCGTATTCACTCAGATGATTATGAATGTTCAATTTGAATCATAACAAATTTGTTTCCCAACTTTTTAAAAACGACAGATGTCGTTTGCTACTAATCTACTCATATGTGCTTTCTATTTTCTTTCTTTTTCATTTTGCCAGGCTATGCCACAGCAGCGCGTGGCCACGTGAAGCTAGTAAACAAATAAAATATTGCAATGATTGTATTCATACCAATCATATTAGTCCGCGGATCCCTTTTTATCAAATTAATAACATCCGTCCAAAATTTTGTGAATAGCTTCATCTTATAATAAATTACAAATTTTTATGTACGAAAATTTTCAAAAATTGAGCATTTTCTTATTGAATTATTTAATCTCATATACACTCATTTTCACTTAAATCATAATGAATTGGGATCTATACCTTCATTTTTTATATAATATGGTACAGAAAGATAATTGGACTGGTAAAAGAATTCAGTGGAATGTATTAATAACAAATATAATACAAATATAATGGAGGTTTGAATGTAAGAGTTTTACAATATGGTTAGTGGATTTGGATTGTGGTATTGTTACTTACCTGTGGCTGCATGATGACTAATTATGGATAATGCTGATGGTACGGTAATCGGTACGGTACGGAGTGTTCTACTCTTCCATACCTCCTCCCATGGTAGAACAAAGAAAGAATTAAAAAGTCTTGAAGAGGAAAGAGAAGTCGTCCTCTCTTGGCTTTAGTCGCCCATTTTCTCCTTTTGTTTTAGTGTACATGACACCACCGTCGGCACGATGTTACCTTGGCGATGTTTTACATGTACCCCATGAAGGGGGGGGGGGGAGTAATATCAACTTAGTTTGATCAACCCTAAACAAATAATATAATTTGATCATTGAAACGAGCAATGTTAAGGCCATTGTTGATCAAAATCCCACCCAATCAGTGCTAGAGATTGCTATGGCCCTAAATGTGTCGCACACAAGCGTAGAAAACCATATAGACAAGCTCGGCTATGTTTCCAGATTAAATGTTTGGGTCCCTAACATGATTTATTTTCGAAAATCAAAAACAAAAGTTATAACTTCAATACGACTTCAGCTATCTACAAGAAATTTAGGACCACATACACAAAATGACATCAACAGGACCTTCGTAAACGAACTACAAATGAAGATAAAAAATAAAAAATTACAAGGAGTTTTTGTTTATTTATTCCTTATGTAGGCACTAAATCAAAAAACCAATCATACGGCTTTGAAGAGCAATAATTCAGCTTCCAGCGGATATAGTAACATCCAATTTGGAGAACATCCTGAAGAGATACGAATGATCGGAAGCACTAGCGGATCTAGGATTTAATTTTTGGGGGGCTTCAGCCCGAAAGCTGTTTTTTTCATAAAAATAACGATAATTACTTTGAAAAAAAAGAAAAAAACTAACTACCTTTATGGAATGGTGGTTAAGTGATTCATAAAGCCCTTTTAAATGTAATTACATAAACAATAATACTTTAAGAGATACATTTATAATATTTTTTTCGATAAAACATGGTTATATTTTACCATTTTGGAGGGGGGGGCTTCAGCCCAAAAGCCCCCCCCCCGTAGATCCGCCCGTGGTTACTTGTTAGATATAAAAAACAACTCGTATAACTGGGTAATGCAATGCGCTCACTCGCTGCCATGGTGATCCCTGTTACAATTAAGGATAGGAGGGCACAGTTTTGCCAGTGGACGACGGTAATGCCTTCATAAGCAATAAATAAAGAAAAATATTTATTATAAATAAATATATTTTATCATTTTGGGGGGCTTCAGCCCGAAAGACCCCTCCCCCTCCCCCATAGATCCGCCCGTGATCGGAAGGGTGTTGTGTTACACCAATACAACACCAGGTCTAGGACCTAAGCCTTATGAATGGTTTTTTGATTTAGTGCCTACATAAGGAATAAGTAAACAAAAATATCTTATAGGTTTTTATTTTTTATCTTCATTTGTAGTTCGTTTACAAAGGTCCAGTTGATGTCATTTTTTGTAGTTTATGTGACCCTAAATTCCTGCTAAATTTCTTGTAGATATCCAAAGTCGTTTTGAAGTTATAGCATTTTTTTGTGATTTTCGAAAATAAATCATGTGAGGGACCCAAACATTAAACCTGGAAACATTGCGACATTTGCAAACCAATGTAGACAGCTGTGTTCGGTTAAAGCATCATCTACATAAACATTGGTAGATTTTTCTATATGAATACATAGGGCTAATAATTTATAAGACATCGCTAGTCCCCATACCTCATTGGTCACCCGCAATAAATTATAGAACTTGAATAGGACCTTGTGCCCCACCCTCCGTATTCACCAGACCTAACTTCAAGTGACTACCACTTATTCAGGTCTCTGCAGAACTTCATGATTGGAAAAAAATTCCAAAAGGAAGAGGATCAGCTTTTTTAACAATAAACTCCAGACATTCGATGAACATGGCATTATGCAGTTAGTGGAAAGATGGTAAAAAGTCATATTAAATAATGGTCAATTTATTGTAGATTAAAATAAATTTAAGTCTATAGTACATTGAGTTTTATTTCATCCTGAAAAACCGAAAGGACTTATATGCCAACCCGATATTTTTAACATAATTTTTTTGGAGGAAATAAATATCAAGTGCTAAAAAAAAAATTAATTATATTTCTTTAACAAAGGTAATATTCCTTAAATGAACAACGCTACTATTAGTGCAAAAGTTCATATGTAACAATTTTACTGGTTTATTCCCTTTACTCTAAAGCTGACATTTTATAGTCTGCAACTGATATAAGTAGACAGCTATAAATAGAAAATAGCAGAGGGAAATAAAATATGAAACTATAATAAGATATCATAAAGAAATAATAGATTTTCTCTTCTATGATCAATTTTTATATATGACATTTTGCTGTAAGTAAAAAAAAATATATATATATATAGCAATAATAACATAAAAAAAGAAATAAAAGGGCAACCATTCAATGAAAATTATTTAGTAAACTATCCAATGAAAATAAATATTTATTTGAACCTTTCAAAAGACAGAATGACCAACTCCAATTCCAAAATTATTCAATAAAGTACTATTACTTTTAGTAAAATGACGTAAATTCCAAATCTTTCCTTGGAAAATTATTACCTTATCCAATAGTATGAAAGTAATATCAACAATTACTAGTATTTCTCCGAAGTTTTAAAGATAGATTTTCAATCCGAAATATTAAAAGCACTTGACTAAATAATGTTGACGTTGTTGTAGTCATTCTTTCAACTGCAATGTACGTAGATTGGTGGTACAATTTATTAAACAACTACATGGCGAAAATTTATTTGATTTCATGATAAAATTTTTATAACTTTTTTTAAAATAGGAAATTTAATTAATCACCTAAACACGGCATTAATACGTTTATTGCTTCAGTTGTTCCTTTAGAAACCTACATTTACAACTAAAGTATCATTTATAGAACATCCATTTTTACTTTCACGTACCTATATATGAAATATGTAGTAAAGGTAAGTATTGCGATCGTGAAAATTTTCGAATCTGAGTTACAAATAGTCTATGAAATTACAAAAAGTCTATTTATTTAATCGACGGAAGTTAATAATCTAGTTTCATAAACCACATAACTTCAGTCTCTGAACCATTCAGCTGACAGAACGACTAACTCCAATTTCAACATTTTTTAGTAATCCCATTTTCATGATATTTCTAGTTGAAAAAGTTATCTATACAGACAGTGAGTAAGTTTATTCCAAAGTAGATGATTGCAATGTTGAAATATAGAACTGTGAATAAAGGTATCAATTTGCCACTAGAATCATCACTAAAATTAATAATAAAGAATGTTGAAATTGGAGTTAGTCATTCTGACAACCAAAAGGATCATATATGCCTACAGAGGTTTGAAAGTATATATGAATATTTAACCTATAAATGATTATGGATCGTAGGACTATTGTAAGTCGATAATGTTGGGATTTCACGAAGGGAAACTTCATCAAATTATTCACTAATTTAATTTTCTAAAAGGTTACTTGATGACTTTTTGGGATAATCGGGCGATAGATACCTAAGTATTTAAATATAACATCATATCTAGAGTTATTAAAGTACATTAAATATATTTAAGGTTATGAACATATCCTTGAAATATTTTTATATTTCACTTCTTGTTTCATACACGTAAAATGAAATAGTATTTTAAACAATGTCATTGGCTTGATTCGGTGAATTTTAAATACTTTTTTTTCAATCTTAGAAAAACATTTAAAAGTTTACATATAGTAAGAAAATTTCATTTAATTTCATTGGAAACATGTGATTTACGTTAAATAATGTTAGTTTTCTGACATTATTATTTATAATATTTTCGCCACTTTCCTTTACCTTCCACAACTTTCTATATTAGATATTTGTTTTTTTCTAAATTTATCCGCTTTCCAACGATATGTTATACATATACATTCTGACATGTATTTCCGGGGATTCACTTTCGAGCTGGATAGGCATTTTTATTTTTCATTTATCATCAAATTCTTTCAAAAGTTATATTTAGCATTTTTTTTTTTTTTTTTTTTTTTTTGTAATTCTGAATAACTTGAGATGATCATTTTTTTTTTTTAAATAAATCCAATTAAAAATATTTTAGAGGAAGACACATATGAACATTGGGCATTTAAATCCTATAAGGCTACATTAATGTGTATAAGACCTGGCTGATATTAAAGACCTCTTAATAATACACTGATACACCGAGTTTAATAAAATTGTTAGAGCCATTTTCGAGAAAATCGTAAAAATGTGTTTCAGCGTTGATATAAATTGGCTCTTCCGGTTGGCCGATTTTAAGAAAAAAGTTGCTGTCACATGTAAGGGATACACATATCTTAAATACGAAATATCAGTTTCGCACGATTTTTCGTTTTTGAGCTAGACTACTAACATACAGACACACAGACCATTTTGCGGGACTTGGTTATTTGGACTCAGGGTACCTCAAAACGTGTATATCCTTTGAAAACGCAGATTCGAAATTCTTCACGATCGCAATAATTTTCCTTACTATATATTGCATATATACGTAAGTGAAAGTAAAAATCATCAAGTAATCTTTTACAAAATTAAATTAGTGAATAATTTAATGAATTTTTCCAGTGAAATCCCTACATTATCCAGTGACAACTTTTGACCTATCCATGTAAGGCATTGAAAATCTCGTAATTTCATTTTAGTAAACTTTACAATGGAAAATAACAGTTTAATAACTAATAGTCCTACAATCGATAATCATTTATAGATTAAATATTCAGATGTACTTTCAAATATCTCTAGGCATATATGAACCTTTCCGTTGCCAGAATGACTAACTCCAATTTCAACATTCTTGATTATTAATTGAAGTGATATTTCTAGTGGAGAAATTTATATCTTTATTCACAGTTCAATATTTCAACACTGCAATCACCTACTCTGAAATCAACTTGCTCAGTGTCTGTATATATATATATATATATATATATATATATAACTTTTCCAACTAGAAATATCACGAAAATGACATTACTCACAAATGTTAAAATTGTAATTAGTCATTCTGTCAACTGAAGGGTTCAGAGAATTAAGTTATGTGGTTTATAAAACTAGATTTTTATTGCCTGCCATCGATATAATAAATAGACTTGTAATTTTAATGGTCTTAATAGTTTGTTATTTGTAAGCTTTAAGCTTTAGCTCCGTTTAAAAGGCACATCAAAAATTTTATAATACTCTAACATTGGCAGAAAATAATTTCTATTCAAAGTAGAGAGGTAAGTGAAAGTTGTGTGTTGCCCACACCAGATTTTTATCTCTTCACGAGACTTAGTGGAGTTCTCAAAGCAGGGCATAGTGTCGGACTCAATATGATCATCGGGCCAATAAGTTTGGAGACCTCTGTATTAGAATATTGTTTTTATTATTAACTGGACTCTTAACCAAACCAACTATGATCGAAAAACTGATTAAATGAAAGAAGTATTGACTATTTTTAAGATTTATTTTTACAAACTCCAATAAATCCCATCAAATTACCTTTACCCTGCTTCGCAAACCTATGACCTTCTGTCCTACAGTATCCTTTAACAATTCCCCACTTATCCCAGTTGAACAAATCCGTTACCTGGGACTACACCTCGACAAACGACTCACATGGAATCTTCATACAAGACTGAAACGACAAGAAACCGCTCGACGTTTCCGACTACTCCAACACATACTAGACAAACGCTCTAGGCTTTCAATCAATTACAAACGACTCATATATATGACAATAATAAGACCTATTTGGACTTAAAGAATTGAGCTTTGGGGCTCCACTAAACCATCGAATTCCTCTCGTATCCAATCCTTGTCACAAACAAAATCATCCATAAAGACCTTAATGTTCCATATGTTTCCGATTTGGCCCAATCCAGATACCTATCCTTCCATAACAAACTGCAGAACCATCCGAACCCTCTCGTTTCAAACCTTGCTTCCTCCTCGATCCCTGATAACCCTCCGAGGCTTCTGAAAAGAAGATAGCCTCGGGACCTTCTAATATAGAACTATAATTTGAGTTCTACCAATTTCTCATGTTGTACATGTCATGTTACCAATGTCACATTTACTTGTTGTATTTTTAATGTAATGCAGTTGTAAATTTCATTAAAATAAATAAAAAAAATATATATATAGATAGATAGATATATATATAATGATTTTAATCAATTCATGTTTGCTTTATACAGGTGCAGTTAGACCAGAATCGTTCACTCGAGCTCCTCCAACAACGGGAGTTCCGGAAGGAGGTTCGGAGCCTCTGGAATGCCCGCCCAACTCGACCAGCGACGAACCTCTAGGTCTCTCTGGGGTAGAAGAGGCCCAAGAACTTGAACGAAACTATTACTCGACTTCGACGGCTTTCGGTATCACGCTGGGCCTCGGCTGCCTTCTTCTACTCCTCAATGCTCTCATATTCTCAGCCATCTACATCCAAAGGCGGAGGAAGAAGCGGCCTGAACCTGAAGCTGTCGAAATGAAAGAGAGGAAACCTCCTCCGCCCACTCCACCATTGCGTACTTCCAGCGTACCGGTGACTCCAGCGACTGTGAAGAAGAGGGTGCAAATTCAGGAGATATCTGTGTGACCATCCGAAAATATTCAACATTTATTAAACAGCTGCATTACTGGCAAAATTCACACTATTTCGAAAATCCGATTGTATTTTTATATGTCACTTCAATAATAATAATGATCATTTTAAATTGTCCATAAATAAATTTATCTTATTCTTTCTTGGTACTATAACTCTTGCAGAGTCAGAGCCTCGTGCAATTTGATTCACCTGTCATCTCTGTTAGTTACGATTGCCCTCCAGTTAAGAAGAGCCAGGATGGATATCGCATCACCTGACACATCTTACATCCATACTAATTAGGGTCTCCCCACTCTTCTGGTGGCATAGATCTTTTCATCCAGTATCTTTCGAGGTATCTGGTCTGATGACATGCTTGTAATATTCCACTGGAGGTGACCAACATTGACAACTATAATAATATCAGGATTCTTATACAGTCCCCCTAATTCTAGGTTTGCGCATCCTGCACACACTACTGCTATTTAAAGGACCAAATATTTTTTGCAAGTTAGTCGTTTAAACTAAAAGAGAAGGGATTTTGTTTTTGTTTTTTTTGTTAGCGACCAATATTCTGAGCTCAACGCTATTGGTTTGATAAAAAAAACTCTTGAGACATAGTTGACACTTACTGATAGATTTGTTAATTTTTTTTAAGAAATTTATTTTTTCTAAAGTATTTATTTTCATATTTTGACTGTACATATATTTTAAAGGTATGCTTGATATCTGTTGACTATAGCGTTGCCAGTTGTCCTATAATAAAGTTTATATTATAACTTGTCCTATGTCCGCTGGTTAATAAGAGTCCTATTTTCGTTAAAAGATCATTTCATATTTCAATTTACTTTAATATAAATTTCTTATTAGGCGGTTTCTATAGTTTAGTTCTTGGTAGAATTTCCTTCCCTATCATTTGTAAAAGGCGTCTTTTCAATCATTAAAAAAGATGTGCTGATAAGAGGAATATATATGTTTTCTAGATCAAATTATCATAAAACAAAATAATTACGAATTCAAACTCAAAAACAATTATGTCATTTTTTTCATAATCGATATAAAAAGTGATATACCCTTGCTAAAATAGGCCTAAAGAACCAAAATTTGGAAACTACAATTAACAAAAATTAATCCCTCAATACAACAATAATTATTTTTGAATTTATAAGTAATGTTATGAATTTGTATATACTACATAAATAATATTTTATTGTTATATTATTAATAATACGAGATATTATTGCAATTAATAATTACAAATTAATAGTCATTAACTGCGTTAACAAAAATGTATATCTTTTTAAATATAGGTACAATGTGATATAATTTTTTTGGCTGAAAAAAATGTCCACCTTCTCCAAATTTAGTTCTGTCCGATTTTATAACTAAAAAAATCGAACTGAGAATTACTATAGAGAATAACAAAAATAAATTGGTCATTCTTTGCTATATATTCTACCATCTACCATCTTCCAAAAACAACTAAGTCGTTACCTGTGTTAATTTTCTTGAAAATTATATTATTAGAAAAAATTGGAGTTTAATAACCTTTTCAACAAGGACTTGATGGTGATGGATCACAAACGACCAGATCCTCCCAAAAAATGAATATAAAATAAAGTTTTAAACTAGAACAATTTTTTCTACTTCGGCTTCAAGAGTGTCAGCCTTTCTTATTCCTCAGTAGAAAAACCACAATGCAATGAAAATGGACAGAGAATTTTTAAAAATCGCCATCTGAGTAAAATTATTTTAATTACCACTTCTTAAGTTTCTAAACTTATCAATGGCATCTTACATTTATCAGGCCATTCCTAAACTCATTGATGGATACATAAAAGGAATTTAGCGCATACCTTTATCCCCTATTAAGGTCAATAGTCACTGGATATGATCTTATGAAAACCACAGTTATTTTTTATCGATATCCTTTACACATTAGCTTTCTATCTGTACTTCTTTCTGATCTTAAATTCAGAATTTAGTAAACAGGTATTTCCTAATATATTTTAGTATGATTTGTAACCTTGCACGAGTATCAACCTTCTCTTAAATACAGCAGGTTGGTCACAGCATAAATCGCTGCTGGATTCAATTTATTGAAAAATTCGATCGATGGAATCATCCCAGGGCGTGTGGAGAAACAAAGAGTTCTAGGAACAAATATGAATAAATTTTCCTCATCGCAGGTGAAGGTTTGAATGTGAATTACAAAAGTGTATGTTGTACAAAACTAATAGTGGCTGATTTAAAGGATTATGTCTGTTACTTGAGGATTGAAACGAGAAACATATTGAGAAAAATGTGGGAAAAGTTTTATTTTTTTAACTTGTATTTTTTTTTTTTTTTCCGTTAGCACTACAAACCATCTTTGATCTTTGACCGCGAGAAGTGGTCTCCTAGACCACATCTCGATTCCCGATGTAAGTACACGGGGGTAGGGACATCAGTCCTATGCCCTTAACATGTATATATGCCTACAAAAATGAAAAAAACAAAATTTTTACCATCACTCATCAAGGGAAACTTTTTACAGCCAAAAAAAGCCAGATTTGTTCGATACTTTTATGCTTTTTCACCTATAAATCCTAAAGCGAAAGTTACCTAGCTAGAGCATCAAAGCAAAAAATGTTCGTTCACTATACTAAGATATTAAAGAACCTTAAATTGTGCATCAAACTAGTACCTAAATTTAATAAATTTGTTTAGTGGTATGGTAGTCTAGTAAAACTAAGAAACTAGTTTGTCTCAGTGTTGGGCAAATTTGGTAAAAATCAAAGTTCATTAACTGTGTTTATGGATCATATTACTTAACTGATTATTAAATTTAGGTACTCGCTCGATGAACAACCTAACGTTTTTTAATTTTTTAAAGGGTACATTTTACACTTCGATGTACTGTTTAGTAGAGTTATAAATGAAAAAAAAAATCTGATTTTACAATACAAGTTAAAAAAATAAAAACCGTTCCCACATTTTTCACAATATATTTCCTATTTTGATCCCTAAATTACTAACCTAATATCTTTTAAATCTGCCGCCATTTTGAAACAGTAGTATGTTTAGAAACTTGGCCTCGGAATCAATCTTCCTCACCAGAAGGATTTGATGATTAATTTTTATGCATACTTTTAAAAAACATCTTCTTAGGTCTAATTAAAAAAACTAATTTCCTGCTTACGTCAAGTATGTATTGAAATTCAAACAAGTGAGGTAAATAAAGAGATGGAAGCCAGTATATATTAAATATAATTCAAGAATATTATACAGCTGACCATCTCACACCTCTTCGTGACACCCACAATTATTTTGGTAAATTGTCTCACAACCCTTGGGATGTGTGAACTATGGATCTATTTGTTGTACATTGTAATGTGAACTATTTGTAATTTTCTTTCTTTCTTTTTTTTTTTTTTTAGTTTAAATGAGATTTTAAAAAAGTAATGCAGTATGATAAAATACAAAAATATTTATTTTAAAAAATGTTGTTGAATGTATCTTGTAATCACACAGCATGTAATTCATAAGAATAATAACGTATATAAGATGGAAGTTATAAGTTAGCTGTTAAAAAATTATTGTATACAACATTTTGTAAATAATTCCTGTAAAATTCTGAAAAAAGTACTTGTAATTTTTTGTATATATATATAAACTTAAAACATAAAAATAAATAAAGGATCAACTACATACAAAATTAATTATTGTAAACAATTGTAAGAAAATAAATATGTGTAAAAGTTAATTTTCTTTATTCTACTCATTCCTGGCTCAAATAAAAACCAAATTATAAATTAAATACAATAATTATATAGAAAACTTTGTTCAATAAATAAACATCTTTATTTTAAATTTTCATTTTTATTTTTTAATTTATATTCAAATTTAAGTAAGTGTATGCTTTAAGATCAGTTTAATAAAAATCAAAATTAAATGTTGATAGTTACTTATTGAGTATTTCGGGGAATGTCTGTTCCCCTTTTCAGCAATTTAAAAAATATACCTTCATAATGTGAGTATGATTGTTGACTGTAGTGAATAATTTAAGAGAATGATGGTTGGAGTGATCAGTCAAAATAAAATAGTAAAAATAAATAATAGTACTTATTTTCACATTCGCCGACGTTTTGGCCCAAAGTTCACACCTTCTTCAGGGCTGCTCTACAAACAAGCATAGACAGACCAGAGTACATAGGTCTGTCTATGCTTGTTTGTAGGACAGCCCTGAAGAAGGCATGAACTTCGGGGACAAACGTCGGCGAATCTGAAAATAAATACAATTATTTATTTTTACTATTTTATTTTGACTGATCACCCCTGTTCAATTAAAAAAGATACCAATATATTTCAGATTCAATTTAGAAACCAGTAATTATTAACTAAAATACATTAAACATAAAACAATTTTTTAAATAAATATAAATTATTTTACCACCATTAGTTAAAAAATATAGGTTACTTACATTTTATTCACCCAAAAAAAAACATATGGAACAAGCATTGAAAATAATAACACATTTAATAGTCCGTAATACAGACCCCTTTTTATCAAATTATTAACATCTTCCTAAAACTTAGTGAATCAAACCTTCGAAGTTTCAAAACCTACAACTTTTTTTATTTACAGAAATTCACAGAATCAATCTGGAGATTGGCAAACTTTGTCGAATTAATTAGGTACTAAAAATTCATAAGCGCCCACTTAAAACCTAAGATAATTTGAGCACAAACTCGAGAAAAAAGGTGGCCTTAAAAAATGTTGAGCCATTTGGCATGACCAACACTCCCAAAATGTCAAAATAACATGGTTTCATAGACGAAATGGTCCAATATTTTTGTAGGCCACCTTTTTTTTTGTGATCAAATTATCTTATGATCCAAGTGGAAAACAAAGGGGTGAGTATATACGATTATTTAGTACCTAATTAAATAGACAAAGTTCACCGACCTTCAAATTGAAAATGCCCCAATTCCAAGAGTTTTCGTAAATAAAATAGTTGCAGGTTACCATAAGATGAAGCTAATTATGAAATTTCAGGCGGATGTTAATATTTTGATAAAAAGGGTACCATGGACTAAGATCCTAACCCCCCTCTCCCTTCCCTACCTACAAACCTATTTGTTGATAATCCTTTTAGTTGAAAATTAGACATAGAATCAAACTTATTATTTGACTTACCCAATTTTTTGGGGGAATAAAATGTAAGTAACCTGAATTTTTTAAAAAATAGTTTTTATTAAACTGACCTTAAGGCATACATTTAAGAGTGTATAGGAAATAAAGTTTTCGGGGTGTCTACAAGAAATTCAATAGAGCCACTCCCAAAAATAGGTAATTTAAAAAAAAAAAAAAGTGAAATGCAATCAAAATCTTTTTAAATATTCAAAAATATTTATTAATAGTTTGACTCTTACAAAAATTGAATACTGAAAATTATAAGTCAAACTAAACTTTAATATGGTGCAAATATTTCCAAAAATTCCCTGCCTCCTTACTAGAAATGAGTGAAAAAAAATAAAAATGAAATGTAATAAATATTTTTTTTCACAATATTCAAAAATATTTATTAATAGTTTGACTATCACAAAAACTGAATAATGAAAATTATGTTTTACGAGGATAGTTTTAATCCGAGATAGCTAAAACTATTAAATGTTCTTATGCTGTTCAATATATGTTTACTTGACACCGAACATTTAATATATTTTCCTTGCTACTTAGAACAGGAAGAAAGAAATGACAGGAGCATGTGAGGAAAGGTTTTGGTTGAGAACATCTCTTCAGAATCGTAAGACACAATCGCAACAGCTGGCTAAAGATATGAAAACCTTGTGTTCTGTTGATATTTCTGAAAGGCTGTAGAGCCAGGAAGAAACTATGGCTTAATGAAACCAATTGCAAAAAGAAGTTTAACTGGGCGAAATTCCAGCAAAACTGGAGTGCTATGTTATCTATCTATCTATGTATGTTATCTATCTATGTTAGTCTATGTTATCGATTCGAAGTATGTCTTGTATCTTGTTTACATCACTTGGCACAGAGAGAAATGCTCGTAAATGTTTGTGTCTGTCGTCTGTTAGCTTTTCACAGTACAGAAGGATATGGAACAGGCTGTTAGAAATGAATTGGTTACAGAAAGTGCAGGTTTCCTGGGCTTTGAAGTAGAAGTTTTTGTTTTCCGTATAGAGCTTAATTAATTCGGGATTTGAAACCTTAACTGACTTATTGATCTTAGCTTTTTTATGTCAGCTCTATACATCAAATAGGACTCTGGGGTGGAAATAGTTCTATATATGGGATTGTTGTTGGAATTTATGGATAAATGGATGTCATTAGATAGGTTATGGTTTTTTAGCTTTTCCAATATTTCAACACTGTATTTTAATAATCCAGTTGGGTATACTTTATCGAACTCTTCTTTACAGCCATAATGAGCAGTATTGATCTGACTTGTGTGATCCAATTAAAGTTTATATCAGGATTCCTTGTATCCAGCAAAATTAATTTGTTGAAGCAAAGCCTTGGTAACCTCTCTTCAGGCATAAGTGACAATGTAAGGCCAGTTTCGAGACGTACAATGTAGTTGGCAGTATTCCTTGGCCACCTAAATAGTTGCTTCAGAAACTTCAGCTGTACCACTTCAATAGCATCCAGGTATCTTAAGCTCCATATTTCAGAAGAATACAGAAGGGTTTAAGACACCATAGAATCAAAAAGAGCTATTTTTGTCTCCCATAAATCGCTTCTACCCCTTCGCAAAATCTCCAATACTTTTCCAGTGCCAACAGAGGACTTCTGTATAAAATGCTCAGATGCCTTACTAAATTTTCCTGAGGAAGTGAAAGGTACTCCTAAGTATAGACCTTAGTGTATTCAAGCTTTTTCTCATACCAGTAAAGGGGCTTCAGTTTCTTTATCTGGGGGGAATATTATAACTTTTGATTTTTCCTCATTTACAGTCAGGGAGTTCTTTTCGCAGTACTGTTGCAGGATCTTCATGCTTCTTGCCAAGTAAAAAAAAATTTTTTTGGTTTTTAATATACACATAGTTATTTTTTAAAATTTATTAAAATATCAAATTTTTGGAACTCCTGGTGCCGTTTTTGTAAGAAGAGAACGAAAAGCTATCGCCCAAATTGTGTTGTCCCTACTTTAATACATGGTGGGAGAAAAATAATGATTTGGGGCTTCATGTGTTGGAGAAATGTTTTTATGCAAAGGGAAGATTAATAGTGATACCACCATATCAATGTTAAATCAATCTTTGAACCCTTCATTTGAAAAAATATTTCGATGTGCTCAATCCCATTGAGCAGTTATGGGCTAAATTAAAAGTTGCTGTTGATAAACGTAACTCTACAAAGAAAGACAACTTATTCAAGACTTGTTAATTCTATACCAAAAAGGATAAGTGAGACCATAAATACCAAAGGCTTGATGACAAAATATTAATTTGACTTTTTTATTTATATTTAAATAAACATATTTTATGAAAGGAGATGTTATTTTTATCCACATTTATTTTGTTTTAATAAAATATATGGGTGCCTAATAATTTTGGCCAATGCAGCATTTATTGTTTCTAATCTTTAATCGAGTTTAAATTACTAAAGGAAATTAGTCGACTGTTCTACATATCATGGATGATAAATATTCAGGACGCAGTCATTATAAAGTTTTAATTAGTGGCAACGTTTCAACCCATACATGTGGGTCATCAGGGTGTGTTTTAAGCACTATTACTTGAATACCTTCAGTGCTCAAAACATGCCCTGATGATGACCCACATATTAGGGTTGAAACACTGGCACTAATAAAAAACTTTATAATGACTACGTCCTGAATATTTATCACCTATGAGTTTAAATTACATTTGCTTAATTTTAGTCATGAGGTCTAAATTAATACTTTTACATTTTATCATCAGATATAAATTGAAAAAACAGGCCTAAATGAGATGAATCAATTATCATTATATCCAGAACTACCAATGAGAAAAGCCTAAACCTAACACTTAGAACACCACATAAGGCAATTTGAGTAGATTGTAGAGAAGCACAATAAAATTATGCTCTCTTCTGTTTTTAAACATATTTGTTGTTATGCTCCATCGACATTTTGGGCTCCTGACCCATCTTCGTGGACAATTTTTCAATCTGGGAACAATATAATTAGAACAAAAATAACTATTTAAACAAATGAATAAAAATAGTTTTATAAGAATCATTACATATAATAATTTACTTTTTCAGTTATATTTTCCTTATAATAGACAAACATTTTTCATTATCAATATGGACCATGATTCTTAGGAATTATAGGTTGAATTTAAAAAATAAAGAATTTTAAAGAGATTATAATTATTTATTAAAGTTAAATCGTAAATATATTTACAATTCGAATTTCTAAATAAAAAAATTTAGGACAATGGTCAAAGGAGCAGACAAATTAAAACAGATAGAGATGAAGGACTATTTAATTTATGCTGAAGTTTCAGTCCATTTTTTAGGTCTTCTTCAGGATAACAAAAAAAATGAGCTTCAGAGGAAAGTCACATGGACTGCAAAGAGAGACCAAAACAGGGAATTACTAAAAGAAATCTCTCTTTGCAGTTCAGGAAATGAGATAATATATTTTTAACTGCTCTTTTTTTATGTATTTTAGCCTTTAAGAAAGCCTAAAAAGTTGGCCGAAACATTAAATAATATTCAACTACTGAGTGTTTTAATATGACTGTTTTCTTCACCATCACCTCCTATATCGTAACTACAATTAATTGCTACATACATAAATATAAAAAAAACATATTAAAAGGAATAATAATATTATTATTACACATAATATATTATTATATATAATATTAAATAAGTAGTTCTATTTTACAGTTAATTATTAAGAAATATTGTTGTAACATCCAAAACAAGACTAGCTTAGTTTCAAAATAATACGATAACAATAAATCAAATAAATTGATGTTATAACAAATAAACTTCATTTATGCACAATACTTTACATGTTTGTACAAAGAAATAAAGAAAAAGTTATGCATTAAAAATATCTTTAAAATTAAATTAAACTTAACAATTTACTATTCAGGATTAATTTCTAAACTTAAAGCTATACTTAAGAATTAGCCATACTCATTTTTGCTGCTTCCTGGCGAATAACCGATATAAGTTCCATATTGATTAAGAAGACGAATCTCAAGCCAGCAATCTAAGATAAGTAATAATAAAATAAATACAAAAATATTAATAAATATGTTATAGATAAAATACATTAATAATAAAGTATGTGAAACTTTAAAAAGTTCATTTTCTCACACCAAAAATGCTCCAGATTATAAAATAATGGTTTATTATTTCCAAACAGTTTTATATATTAAATGTAAGACTACTTTTCTTCTTGAATAAAGGAAAATAATTGGCCTAAATAATGGTAAAATAAAAACCAAAAAAAAAAACACCTCTGCCGTACGCTGTCCGTACGCTTCTGAGAAAGCGGTCCATGGACAGCGTACGGCAATGGATGGATTTTATTTTCGGATTCTACTGATCTTGAAACATAAAGCCTCAAATTTTGTGGGAGGTGGGTTTTTTTTTTTTTGGTTTTTTTTGGTAGATTACAAAGGTTGATTATTGAAAATAATAAATCAAAAATATTCCATTGAAGGAACTACTTTAAAAAATGGAGAACATTAACTAAAATAAAGATATTACTTTTAATAAATGTGAAAAAATATACCCCTGAATATATTACAATACCATTCATAAAATATTTGGAAGTACTTCTCGACAATTAACTATATTTATATTACACTTTGTAGTATATAAACTGTTACCCATGGCTTCACTCGCAAATATTTATATTTTTACAATTAAATTTACTCTCATATGTGTCTTAAGTTTATGATAAGGATAATTCTAATGCATATAAAAACTTGAGTTGATCAGGTTCAAGGAAAACATGTGAATCGAAACTTCGATTCAAAATAAAATACGGCGTATCGCAGCTAATACTTGTCAGATTAATATGATGTTTCTTTCAATTTCTAGACAACTTCATTAGATTTTTGATAAGTTCATGTAGTTTCCCAGAAGAATTATAGTTCTTGGGTTATTCAGAGAACAAGTTTTATTATTATTTAATTTAACGAGTATTTTTTTTTTTTTTAAACTACTTAGAATAAGAATTACCCCAACTCCAATCTTATTGCATATATATAGCATACGTAGGACTATCAATTAAAATTTCAGTTTCATAGACATTGTCATTTTTTATATAAAGTGATATATTTTAATAGATCAATAAATGAGTAGTATCGTAGTAGAGTAGTAGAATATCCAACAAAAAAGTCCCTTTAAGAAGGCTGAATCAATCTCCCTCTCGTTTCCTACAATAGTGGTTCATGTAATTTTTCGATTACTTGCTTTATTCTGTACGTTTTATTCTGCAAAGTGTTTGAACAAAAAGATTTTAAAAATTTTCTGTTTTCATCATTCGAAAGATCGTAAAATTTTCGTTAAGGCTTCTGGTTTGTGTTACGAGTAAAAAAAAAAAAATAGAATAAATATCAAAGGCTCTATTCAAAACCCTTATTCCAGACATAATTTTAGCAGTTTCTAAAATTGTTGAGCCTTAAACATGCTGACGGGTTATTATGTCATCTGTGGATGTATGCAACAAAATTGATAGCAAGTAATAACACTCATATCACTTTAAAAGATACAATATGTACATAAATAAAATAAATTATAAACTAGACAAGAACATCATTCCGATCACATACCTCTACGACAGAGTTATCATTTAGCCTGTACTTATTTCCTGCCAGTATCGGCCTTCCATCAATATAAATCGCTCTTTTTCCTTCATTCATGATAAAGAAGTCACCGTTGTTCCTCAAGCGAATTGTTCCTTGTTGGCGTGATACTTTTGAAGCGGGTCCTTCAAGGGTTAAATCAACATCAACACTAAGATCTTTGGTTGTTCTTCCTATCGTAATCTAAAATAAAAATGTTTTTACTATGTAATATAAATATTATGATATATTACTACATTATATTGTATATTACTACAAGTATACCATAGTAAAAACTCACATTAGTTAGCTATTCTTCTCCCTCATATATAGAAAGTACATGGAATATCGGTTGAACATGTTTATACATATTGTAATGTCAACATTACATGGCATTTAAATAGTGGCGCGAAAGTGGTAACAGCACGAACTACGGGGAGAAAGTGCGTGCGGATGATGGGGGAAGCAAGCCTCATGTAACTCAGAATGTGACCGGCCGCCAAGAGAGAAGGTTATGAGCCGCTAAGAGAGAATGTGACAAGCTGTCAAGAGAGAAGGTGACGAGCTGACAAGTGAGAAGGTGCTAGCCAGCAAGCTGAGAAAGTGAAAAAGGAGTCCTAGCCGGTTCGAGTGTTGATAGAGGCCACTAGTGGAGATTATTTTATGTTGGAAGAAAAAAACATAGCAGAAAAGAATTAAGTGGTACAGAAAACGGGACATTCGTAAGTAAGAAGAGATTATTTCGCTAATAGGCGTAAACATTTGGGTGAGTGCTAACAATGCCTTTATGTTGACAGAGGGATAGAACCAAAAGTTTAGACCGGGACAAATTATTTTATAAAACTATTTTAAATTATATATAAGTGTAGTTAGTAATTAGTAAATTAGTGTAGATTATAGTTATTTAATGTTGAATGAGTGTTCAGTTGTCAGAACCCAACCTGAGAATTTATGTTATGTGTTAAAATAAATAGTATATTGAAAAAGGAAACTCGTTGTTTGATTTTGGAGGGAAAGAGGAACGTAATAATATATATATATAAATATATATGTATATATGTACTACGGATGAGAATTATTGAAAACCCAAATAAATGGAAAAAGATTATTCAGGAGGAAACAATTGAAGATTGGAGCAGACGGTGGGTGACGACTCCAAAAGGCAGTACCTTAAGAAAATACTTTCCCACTGTTGAATCTCGGTTACAAGTGAAATGGATCCTCTTGGACTATTCGGTTTCACGATTTCTCACGGGCCATGGGGTTTCAGAGCTAAACTTCATGGCCTCAGACAGAATATAGATCCCCACTGTCCCCTTGTGGTGTTTCGGAGACTGTTGAGCATGTTGTCACAGCTTGCACTGAATTTACTTCCTTACTGAGGAGGAGTTTCTTTAGTTGGTGAGTGAAGAAAACTTCCCATGGTTCAAAGACTTCATAAACGGCTGAAAGACGGTGGTGGGCCCAGCTCACGTCAATCTAGGTGCCTGCAGAAGGAGAAGAGGAGCAGTGCCAGGAAGACCTCTGGATTCAGGAAGCCAGGCCTAATTTATTGAAGAATAAGGAAAAGTAGAAGAGCTATTATGTAGAGAAGTAGTGTGTTATTATGCATTAATGCTTAACATCATACTATTGCCTGCATACACCCTGTATTGCCCTGGTGGTATGGGAGGGTGGAAAATAAATTTAAAAAAATATGTATATATGTATATATATATATATATGTATATATGTGTGTGTGTGTGTATAATATACTATTATCAAGATAGTCTATTCAACATCCGCAATTGGTAAAGCTTCATATTTTATCACGACTATAAAAGTATCAAATTCTATTTGGAAAATACCCTTACAGTTTAATAATTAAGCAATAAGACATAGCTATTTCTGAACTAAAACTAATCCATTATTTTATTCGCTCGAGACCTACTTGTTTGATGCAGAAGAACTTTAGTTTGTACTTCTCTCACTTATTTCTAGTATAGCTAGTTCTGCCATAAATACTGTTAAAAAAGTTGAACTTTGTTTACATCCTTGGATATTATTTAGATAATCCTTACCTCTATCAGGTGATTTTTTTTACATGTGAGGATAATAATCTCAATTAGTTTGTATTTTTCATTCAGTTCTGAATAGCTGTGATCGCCTTACACAAAGTTGGAAAATGTAGGTCAGAGATTTTCAACAATTTAAAACGTTTGGGTATCAGCCGTATGTTCGTCTACCGCACCATAAGTAGATATAATGAGACCCTACCTGTATGTGACAGACCTTGACGGACCTTGGGGGCCGTCCCCACACTGTGAGAACGGCAAATGCAGTGAGAGCAGTGGCTGCTCGGATCAGAAGAAATCCCATTCGAAAACAACAAATCAGGTCTTGGGAAATGGGAATCTCTGTCAGATCAATGTCTTGCATGAAGTGACCTTAGGATGAGTGCATTTCAAAGAATGACAGGACAAAGGCTAACAACTTCCTTAAAAAAATTAGAGTAGTTAGATGCAAAGTGCACCTTGGCTGTTACACCAATGGTCTTAATCGAAAGATTATGTTTAGCGGTGAGAAAATTTTTACAATTGGAGAAACAAGTAATCGCCAAAATGATCGTGTGTACATACACAGCTCTAAAGAAGTCCAGGAAGTTATAGGAAGAGTGGAAAGAGGTCATCACCCTTTCTCAGTGATGGTTTAATGGGGAATTTGCTTTGATGGCACCACAAAGCTCCATTTTTGTGAAAAAGGAGTTATAACAGCCGCTAAAAATTATCAGGATGATACTTTGGTACATTTCGTCAAGCCTCTAAATGATACTCTGTTTGCTGGAAGTAATTTTTCAGCAGGATTCTACTCCAGCTCACAAGGCCGGGTCAACTAACTCAACAAATCCTATTTCATATAATTTCTAACTATAATAACTAGACTAAACTAAATAACACTTTTAAAAGCTCAGAGTAACTGCTTGTTTCACAAAAAAACAAGGATGAAAATTGTTGAGACAGCCAGAGAAAGGCCCTTAGCAGGTAGTCGCCCATAACAGTTCATGAATTCTACAAGAAAAGCTGTAAAATGAATTTCCACGCTATCTGTAGGCTCTTAGTTAGAGAAGCTTTATTTCACTGAGAAACCTGTAGAATGTAGCAAGGTCGGTGGTTATAGCACAGCTATACTCGACATTAGCTAACAGAACGAAAAACAGTGAGGCGGCTATAGCCAACGTTAGCACTGAGGGCAGGAGTGGGACGCACATTCATTAGCAATAGTGGCAGGTTCTGTTGTGTCGCCTGTAGCTATAGGCATTGTTAACAGTTAAAGGGTTAAATGAAAAATTATTTAGACAAATATTTTTTAAATTATTCAATAGCCTAAAACCAACTTTGGAAACTTAGGTGTTTCAGAAATTGAATGGATATGTCTAACCATTTGTAGGCAGTAATAAAAACATTGAAATAGGCAAATTTATGTAGTACTAATCAGCATAAAAAAATATATAACGAATCAAAAGGATTATTACAGCTAAGATTCTAAAAGGAAATAATAGTCGCTATTAGTTCGAAATTCTAGTTATTTAAAAAGTGAACAATTTACAAAAAACATACCTGCCGAGACCTCATCAGATATCTTACAAGCCGCCCTTTGAGAACTGCTAGAGTGTGGTTGTCAAACTCTTGAGGTGCAATCCCCGAAACTGCGTCAACTAGAACTTGCCAGCGACTTACTTCTGCTTCTAAAGTTCTAATCTCTTTTTTCTCTTTTCTATAAAAATAAAAATGAAATAATAGGGTGCATAAAAAAAAAAAAAAAATTAAAAATTAAAAAAACCTTTTTCAAACAAATATTTGTATTATTATTTCTTTGATATAAAATACAAATAATACTCAAAGTATTGTCCATTGCTATCTACCATCATTATCCATCTGCTAGCCAATCGCTCCATCCCCTGCCAATACCATTCTTTGGGATGGCTGTCAAAGAACTCTTGGACCGCAATTTCAACTTTTACAAAATTATCAAATTTTTTTTCTTGAAGAAAATGGACCATGGATCTAAAAGTAGTAATCCGATGGTGCGAGGTCTGGACTATATGGTCGATGAGGCAGGAGTTCGAACCTATAAAGTTCTTTAAACTTTTCTTTGATTCGACGGGAAGTGTGAGGACGAGCATTATCTTGTTGAAATAAAATTCCTTTTCGGTTGATAAAAGCAGGATAATGCTCGTACAATCGTTCCAGTTGTTCGCAGTACAGTTCAGAATTCATAGAGCATCCATCAGGAACAAATTTTTAATGAATAACACCTTCAAAACTCCAGAAAACATAAAGCATGGATTTTTTTTTTCAAATTGTTCCCTTGCAGCAACAACAAAAGCAATTTGACCGCAATCTAGCCATTACTCACAGGTATTCGGATTTCGCCAGTAAACTCAGTTTCCATCACAGGTGACAATCTTCCGGTAAAATCTCATATCAGAAAGGGTTTTCAACAAAATTTCACAAACTTAAAATCTCTTAGCTGATTGCTGAGGAGTAAGTTCGGAACAGTCTACTGCTCTTTTTCACCTTCCCCATGGAGAGCAGATGGCGACTAACAGTACCTTTCGACACACCACACTCCCTGGCAAGTTCGCGAGTACTCGTGGACGGATTTGACTCAACAGCTTCCTGCAGGACCTCATCAATACCCATTAATGGTCGCCCAGAGTCCTTCTTCCTTTCTAACATTGTATCTCCACCGCTAAAATTTCAAACCAACGCCGTGCAATGCACTGGCCAAGGACACCTATCCCTTCATATTTAATAATTTTACGAGTTACTTCAGCGGCTGTGAAATTTTTTTTCCAGTAAAGCCTTAAAATTACGAGAATTTCTTAGGACATTGTCATGTTTCTTCTTTGAAACAAATAACTAAACTGAGGCTTTTTTGAAAGAGTCAAATGGGATTAAACAAGTTTAGATAAAGCTCTAAAGAGATTATTAAGTATTAGTAAGTATTAAATATGATTAAAATATTTACAGTCCTTTGAAATCTTGAATTCGATAAAACAGTCATTTGTTTTATACACCTTATTACTTTGTGTTATGTAAAACTTTTGTTTTTTTTATTTTAGTTTGTATTTTTCAAATTACAAACCTGTCAGAGAGAAACAACTCCTCTTCCAACGCTTCATCTTTAGGTCCTTGAAGCTCGATATCATGCATATTCTCTTCAAGTTCGGAGAAAGGTATGACAGATTTTTCTCCATGTGTACCAGGGACTATTTAAAAACCAAAATTAATATTGTAATAAAGTAAAAATATTTAATCCTAGTAAAAATCTAAAAGATGAAACCACTATTATTAGCAAAAGTTCTATAGAGAATAATATTGGTACAAGTACAATCTTTTTCTTAAATGATAGTGAAGCAGCCAACATAAGTGTGAAACAATTTTTTCAAAGATGAATGAAAAACAAAGTATAATATAATTAGAAACTGAATTTTAATATTATTGCACATTCCATTCGGTTGATTACAAAATTCATCCATTTTACAATCAGTAGAATAACATATAGGAAATTTGATATCACTCATTTTTGCACTTTTTGTGCAAGATTAGATGATTTATAGATATAAATATATGTCTTTTTATAAATATTTACCTTTTATATCTTAATATCTTTTCCATATTAAATTTATAATGTAAGATAGAAATATATGAGAAAGGTAAATAATTATATAATTTAAAAACACTTTAAATTTAACATTACAAAAGGAAGAAGTAAACATAAGTAGAAATATTCTTGGAATATAACGTGCCTAAAATAGTTGATAATAATAATAACCTGCCTTCCTGAAATAAAGTGTTTCATTAGAAAGACATTTATTGTTATTATTTTGACTTGAACTCTTCTAGCTATGAAATTTATAGTAGTAATTTCACTATTATTAAAAATAAAATATTGAATGATGTTGAAAGTAGGTTTTAGTCTCTCGACCAAAATTACGATTTCGCACATGTTGAGTTTTTTGCTGAATGTTTTTCAGATTTTTCCTGCATGAAGATCCGGTCACTAGTTATAACAAATTTACATTTTTAGTTCGGTCATACTAAAATTTCATTAGTCCCCAATTTCGTTGCCATTATTATTTATTTCATAAGTTCCTCTCTATTGCTGTTATTAGTTTCTCTCTAATATTGTTATTAGTTATTTCATTAGTTCTTCTCTTTTAATGTTATTATTTTTTTCATATGTTCCTTACATTATCACTATTAATATCACTTTTTATTTATCTGTTTCATTAGTTAATAGATTCTCATATTGTTATCTGTTCTTATCTCCTCTGGTCTGGACTCCTCTATCCACTCTCTTAACACCAGATCCCAACCTATTGATTTATATATCCTCTCCCATAAAACCACTTCCTTCAGCAAATCCATCGTCATTCGTGCTACCTCCTTCTGGAACTCCTTACCCATCTCCATACGTCAAACCACGTCCATTAATTCCTTCAAACAACTCCTATTCCACCACCTACTAAAAATTCAAACTTCCGCAACCTTGTAAGAATTTTTGTGTTACATAATTACATTGATCATCAGCATTTAATTGATAGGAGCCATTTTATTTTTATTTATTCACTCTTTTTTTTTCTCTCTCAGTATTTCTTGGATATATTTGTATTTTTAGTAAATTTTTATATTTTCCTTATTATTTTTTGTATATAATTGTATTTTTATATATGCATATTTATATTTTCCTTAGTATTTTTTGTATATATTTGTATATCTACATGCCAGACTAATGTACATATTTTTTTTTAACTCAACTATTATTCTACGGGAACTTCAGACCCAGAATAAAATTATTTTTCATTTCATTTAAAATTGTCCGATTTCATCAATTTTGATTTTTCCTTTTTAGAAATTGAAAAGTGAATACTTTTTGAGTTATTCAGAAATCTAATGTTGCCAGCCTTTGCAACTTTTATTCCAGCTTCTTTTCATTGAAGTATAGATAAATTTAAAAAGTTTCGAAGAAGATGACTTAAGCCAAGTTTCATTAATATTGGTACTTCCATTCAGGCACTACAGTCTAAATGGCACAGATCTTTTGGCCACAATCTATAAAGGAAAGTACTTTCCGGTGAAGTATGTTCTACACATATATTTAAAGAGCATTGAGGAGAAAACTTCAGCTAAGTTTCATTAGTTTAGGCATTACAGTCAATAACAACACAGGTTTTTAGGTCATCTTCAAAGGATAGTAATATCAACGTAAGAGGATCATTGTCAGGTGACCTTTGACTTTGATTCCAAATCTAAAAAAAATCGTTCTAGTAGTCACAGAGAAAAGCCGCGGATGGCGTACAGTGGATGAACAAAATATTTTTATTTCATTTTCGAATTCTACATACCCTAAAATGTAAAATCTCAAATTTTTGGAGGTCAAGTTATTGGAGCTTTAGATATTACAATGATTCATTATTCAAAATAATAAACCAAAATTATAAAAACCTCTAGAGAGAAAACTCACTCAACCCAAGCTTTAACAGTTTAAATAATTCTAATGTGCCAAGGAGAGTTAAGAAATAGATGCTAATTTTAGATTTAGACTAAGGATTATTAAGCTGAATTTAAAATGTATTCATTAGATAGATAAATTTTAAAAAATAATGGATACTTCATACCTGTTTGATCATCTAAAAGATAGTACTGTTTCATAAGGAGCCAATGTGCCATGAGAGATTTGGGAGTTCTTGCCCTATGGAAAACCAGACTATTTTTGTTCAGAAGGTCTTCAAAAACGCTGAGGGGAGGCGTTGGGGTCTGAAATATTTTCACCATAATGATTTATTACATTAAACAAAATGAAAAGAAAGTTATTTTGATTTATTAACAATAAATCTTTATTTATCTACTTAACAAAAACTCAATAAGAAAATACATTAAGGATGAAAGAAAAAACAGAAAGATATTTCTTTGATTGAAGTTTTGAAACATAAAATCTGATTTTTAGAGGTATTTTAAGATCTATTATATTTATTAAATTATATTTAAAATATTATTTACTTACAGATTTAATCACAGCTAGTAATTGTTGTTCTTCTTTACTGTATAAAGTTTTACTTTCAATATTTGCTATAACATCAGGATGTAGATTTCGCATTGCGCTCATAGCAAGTTTGGAAATGGTGGGTTCGTATAGCAATGTATACCACCTCTGTTGAATCTCTTGAAGAGTGAACTTGCATGAAAATTTAATACCTCGATGAACATGTTGCAAATCATTTGACTAAAAATGGAAGAAAATTTAATATAAAAACACAATTTAGCATAAGGAATATACAATCATTATGTTTAATAAATAAATAAATCTCGACTAAACATTACACCATATATGTATACTATATTGTAGAAAATTAGATTATTCATAACTTTTCAGTGAATCTTATTTTTTTATACGATAATCAGTCCAAGGGGAAATAAAAACAAAACTTTAAAACAACAGAAAATGAAAATGACACTATCACAAGCGCTAAAATATGAAATTGAAAATATCAAAATTGGCATGAATTTTTAAAGGGGGGAAAAATTTAAACCACCAACGGCATTAAAAAGGCATTTTTTAACATAAACTCATTTCACATCCAAATTTTCAATCTTGTAACTTGATTTGAAAGGGCTATAAAGATTAACAAAATTTAGACATGTCAAAATTTGTACAGAAGTTTATTCCCATTTCTAGGATGTTGTTTTAGCTAGAAAACAACTTGTACAGAATTCTAGCTTATTTAATCTAATTAACCTTTTATATTACAAAAGTATATTATTTTGAAGGAAAAAGAAAATTATTGGTAATAATGATAAGACAGATAATGCAAAAGTGAAGAAAAGATCAACTTACTTCAAACAGCTTACTGGATGATTTACGAGCAAAAATAGAAAAAATATTATAAATATTTAATATAGTCAGATACTTTAAAAAGCTCATGAATGCAGTGGACAAATATGAGAATAATGGTATCGTGTGACAAAAACAATGAAGCAGACCATTTACTTAAACATGTAAATGAACTAGCGGTACTAGCTGGCAAGAGTTCCACACGGATTAGGTGTGATTCACAATCACTTTGGTCACACTTGTTCATGAAACCTCCAAAACAATCAAATATTGCTGAATCTTAAGATATTACCTCTTGTTCCAACTACCCATTACCCTTTGAAGCATTTTTGAAAAAATTCCCATCTTAGAACTTCCTTACTAATAATGAATTATTAATTAACAAATTTGTTAATTTTTCTTTTTATAATTGTAATTACTGTGGAAGAAAATCATATAAAATTATGTTAGAGTGGTTCATCAAGGACCTTAAAAAAAAAAAACTAAGGTGTTGCGTACTAACTAAGGGGCTTTAGACCACATGATATAATTGAAACAGCTCATTACAAAGAAGATGAAATGCTGAACATATCCCTCACTTACAGTATACAGGTTCGATTTTTAGTATTTGAAATATTTTAATCCATATGTTCAACTAACCTCATCATTTGGTTTTCAACACTATTTTTTTCCTTTTCGCCTCCCTAACACTGTGTCGCACCATGATACAATTTTGAATTATAGCCTATTATTGAGAGGATGAAATGGTGAACAATTTCCTCGCTTATGCAGTATGCAGGCCCGATTTTTAGTGTCCGAGATATTTTAATCCAAATATAAAAACATTTTAATCAGTCAACTCTTGCTCACTTTACACGAGCGTTAATACTTTGCAAATCTGACGGATCAATCTAATTCACTCTCCACAAAAAAGTGCAAAACAAAAGATTACATGCAGTCTTTTGCTTAGATTACTCACATAAACAAATGTTGGCCAATAAAATAAATTATTTTTTCTGTTTTGGAAGAGGGCTTCTACCCTAAAGTCCTTCCTCTCCTCCCATACTATGGCATACTGGGCCCTTAGGGCATAATTTATCATAATGATAGATAAGGAATGATTTATTTGAATTTTCTAATAACAAATAATGAATATTTTGTTTTATCTTTTATATTAGATAGTAAATAATCTGAAGTTATCTATTATCTTTTTATTCCATATTCAAGTTTTTTAAATCAAATTTGAAATAATAAAATTGTAAATTTGTTTTAGAACTGAGCCATTGTCGATTTAGCATTTGTAACTTTTGTATTTCTTAAATATAACGGTCCACAATTAAGTTATCAGAGGATTTTTATGAAAATGCTGTCGGATTTGAGATTTTGTATCGGATTTTTGTAACTTCTTTCTTAAATAGAAATTTTTTTTTTAAATGTAAGGGTCGAAGGAATTAAGATGAAGAGTATCTGAAAATTCCATGATTTGAATAACAGAAATCATCAATAAGAAAAAAAAAAAATATATATATATATATATATATATCATGAAATAGCATTCAGTGATATAATGAATGGTTTGTATCTATTACAATTTTTTTTCCACAGCTGTATAATGTATGTATAAGTTCAATTTGGGTTGCATGATGAAATCTAAAGGTCAAGTTGGCTCATGCTGTATAACTGTACATGGTTAAGGGTATAAATGTACTTGTTATTAATAACTTAACTCAAGAGATCTGTTGCTTTTCTATTATTTCGGAAAAACATTGGGCACTCCATGGACAAGTGTGACTAAAGTGATTGTACACCACACCTAATCCATGCAAAACTCTTGTGAACCAGAAACAAACTAGCTTTCACAATAAATCTATTTTTAACAAAAAAAAATTCACAAATGACATGTCTAGTTAAGAGGAGCTTCAATATCACACTGTAGACAAATTAGTTTGAAAATAAAGTGGCAAATAACATCTTCGTAGGTTACTAGTCTCAAAAGGGCTATGGGTGTTCATTCAACCATGAGCAAGCATAGCGAGCCCATCTACGAGCATTATAGTCAATACTCAGTTAGGTTTTATTTTACAAGTGTTGCTTCATTATGACGATTGTAAGAGGGTCAAGATCTCATGATCACACTATACATGGGATTCTGAGAATGGCTGAGTGTTCACTTGTTTACGGCATTATCTTCCTTTATTTAAAAATCAAGATTTACAACTTCCGTAAACTCTTAATTGGACCTTGGTTAATTTCACCGCCAATATCTAACACCAATGGGTCCTATTTAATTCATTTTAATCACACAATTCACCTTTGTCTATTTTCGAACACACGGCCATTCTAAGGATTCCATTTATAGCGTGATTATGTGATCTTGAGCCACCCACCTAAGTGGAACAACATTAGTAACCTTGGAAATTTTATAAATGTAACCCACCTACAAACCAGATGTAACACTTGTGAACTACGACACTACTATAAAATTTCACTCCTTCTAGTCGATTGAGCCAACACTCCCTTTTCATTGTATAAATGAGATTCCTAAAATAGCAGAAGATTGATTTGTTCACAGAATAACTTCCCTTTAATTACCCAAATGGTTCTTTTCATTTAAAATTAAGACATTAATTAACTTTAATTACAACACTGCTTTCAACTTATGTTCAGTATATCCACTCTAAAGGGATGAACTAACACCCAAAAGATTCTTTTCATTTAAGGTCAATTTTACCAGATAGTTTATTCATTTCTGTAAGTTTCAAACACACTCTGCCATTATCGGAATTCCATTTATGGAGTGATCATAAGATTGTGTGCCACCCATGAAAGTGGAGCGACATTAGTAAAGTAGTACCTGAGCTAGTGCCAAAGAAAATAATGAGTATCAAACCTGAATCACGGCAGTAATAAGAGCAAGATCATCAGTTGGCTTCCATCTTCCTAAATCTTTTGTAGCAGCATGAGAAGGCGGTTTCGATTTCCTAGATTTTTTTGAACTTGGCCTAGGTATTATTCTTCGTTTATCAATAGGCGAAGGGACTCCAGCGCTCGAACTGGCTTCATCTAAATATTAATTAAAACTTATAAATTTGTATTCACCATTAAAACTTATTATACCACAATAATAAACACAATATTACACACAAAAGTTTGACTGGGATAATGTTCTGGATCTATTATTTTGAGGTTTCTTCACCATAGGTTCAACGTCTTTGCTTGAAAAACTGTATTCCACCAACTCATCATCGAATTTCCTTCTCTTGATGGACCGTGAACTGCTAAGATTGCAAAATACCGACATATAACATTAGGATTTTGTTTATTGATTTTTTGCTAATATTAATTATAACTAAATATTATTTTCATGAATAATGTGTTAGGTAGAAATACCTTCTCCTTTTATTAGCATCAGATGAACTAACTTCCATTGTAGGAGTAAGAGGGAAGTCAATATCAACTGAATTTGACGCTGTGGGATTATCCATTATTAAATCAACAAATTAACCTCCGAAAATACAAAAGGTTAGCCCAATTAAACAGAGTAGCTCTCAGAAAATCAAATATATAAGCGTTTTAAATTACGACCCATTTTATAAAATACACTACTTTTAACATGAATGTAATCACAAGATAAGAATTAAACAGTGTTTACAAATAAAGAAGAAAACAATTTAACATAACCTGTCCAAGCTTAGCGAAGAGAGGTTATAGTTGTTGGAGCTAACAACTGACGTCACTTAGATAATTGCCAACATATGACGTCATAAGATGTAATATATGGTTAAACTTCTTTTAACGAATAATTTTCATCACCGGGCATCACAAACTTACAAAGAATTATCAAAAGTAAGAATATAATATTAAGGTCCCTTAGCATCCGACACCCCTCCAACAGTCGCGGTCAATCAAATATTTATCAATAAAAAGACATCATAACCCGTTCAAACGTACAGGCAAACTATTTACAAAACCATATTTAATAGATTTATGTACATTTTAAATCAATGCATACGTAATTTAAGTCGTACATTCCGATTTAACAAACGCTTTGTTCAAAATGGCATAGTATATATTTCTAACAATGTTAAAAATCTTATGAGACCTGCATCACAAAACTTTCACATGCCAGCCTTAAATAATTAATGTCTGCTCAAGGCTTGTTAATATTTAAATATATTATCGTGGCCAAGGTTATTAAAAGTTATTACCATATATTTTATCAGCCCGTAAACTCAACTTGAAATATTTTGTGCGACATGCACTTCTCTCACCATAGTACAATTAAATAGTTTTCTAATTTATTCCAGTTAATTAATGATAATCCGGCGCATTACATATTTTTGGTTTGTCGAGCATAAAAATAATTGTAAAAGTTAACATTTAGTTAAGACATTTCGTTTAATTTCCATGGAAAAATTTGGTTCCCGTTAAATAATATTTGTATTAAGAAATTGTTAATAAACACAGACGCTATCTGGCTTCTGATCAATGATATTTTCAAAGCCTACAAAGAAAGATCGTTTCTGCATTTACAGTATATGTAGATAAAGCAAAGGATAATTTGAAACTTCAAACTCAGTTATCTAAATTAAAAAGTCGGAATATTCTCACGAAATTAATACATTGGATAATAAATTACTTATCATATTAAACATATTATCTGGATTATAAGAAAGGTCGAGTAAATTTTAATACTCTGAGTCCAGCCCTTTTCCATATTTATAGGAAACATATTACCAATAGTAGTAGTAAAACAGTCTTATATAGTTTGGAATTAAATGTTTTATGGAAATGAGTCTCTGCTCAAAAGAATTCTCTTTTCTTCTCAAAGATGAAATTGCTAAGCTCTTTCAAATAAATATGAGTTGCCGATGTATTAGAAGAAAGTGTGGATTATCTCAAGCTAACGCTAAATATGTTATAATAAATATAATCCAGGTCAATGGACAAAAAAACAAAACACACGGGGAGTGAATGTTCACTCACGGTCCGTGAATCTTGTGATATCGTACAAAAAAAAACGCAAAAATCTTGGCGAGCTTGCAGAACACATTACGTCATTTTATGGAGGAACGATGATACCCCAACCCTTGAGAAATCAGCTCCATAAGTTCAATATTTTTTGGATCTGATGGAAGGAAAGAACCAGAAAAACAAACGAGGAGTATGTTAATCTGAGAACAATAACAAACGAGATGGATGTTAATCTGAGAGCAATAACAAACGAGATGGATGTTAATCTGAGAGCAATAACAAACGAGGAATATGTTAATCTGAGAGCAATAACAAATTAGGAGGATGTTAATCTGAGAGCAATAACAAAGAAGAACCGACGAAAATAAAAGGATGGAGGAGCTCTGCAACGCATATGAGAAGAAAGAATGTAGATAGTTCTACAAACGTATAAAAAGCATTATATCCAGTTTCAAATCCGACTCGAACTGCAATTTTTAGTTGCTGAAATGATTTAACACATTTTCTCCCTATTCGCCTCTCTAACACGGTATTAAAGTACAATTTTGAATAATAGCTCACTATCAAGAGGATGAAATTCTGAAAATTTCCCTCGCTTACAGTATGCAGATTCGATTTTTAGTTTATGAGATATTTTAATCCATATCTTCAATCAAACTCGTTCTCCTTTTACCTCTCTGACAAAGCGCTATGTTAAGATACAATTTTGAGTAATAGCTCATTAAGAAGAAGATAAAATTCTGAACATTTTCCTCACTTACAGTATGCAGGTCTGATTTTTAGTTTCTGAGATATTTTAATCCATATCTTCAATAAAACTCGTTATTAGTTGGTTTTGGACACTATTTTCTCTTTTTCGCCTCTCTAAAACGGCATCGCGTTAAGATACAATTTTGAATAATAGCTTATTACAAAGAGGATGAAATTCTGAACGTTTACTTTGCTTACAGTATGCAGGTCTGATTGTTAATTTCTCAGATATTTTGATTCAAATGTAAACACATTTCGAAAATTCACTGGTGTGCATGAAGTAGAAAAGAGCTAAAAGCTGCTCGATTATTTACAAATTGCTGGCACAAAATATCTAAGTCTTAAAAACTTTATTTTGGAAATCATAAAATAGAGGTCAAATACACCAAATTATTCGGTCTCAAAAATACACCTTTAGATTTACAATAAATTTTCAACCTTGTTTCAGTTGAACACTATTTCATCTGATTAACATTTGCACCAAATTATCATTATTGTAACAAATAACTTGGATCATTCTACCCTCATCCGGTCTATGGCGTCCCACTTTACCAATCTTAAAATCTAGTCAACTTAGGTAAGTGGGAATATAATATTGAACGGCCTTCAAAACAATCGAAATATCCTGAAACTGAAATGAGCTTGTCTGGAAAATAGCTACAATGCCGCCGAATTCCAGATTGTGAGAGACAGAGAATTGATTTAATTAATTGGAAAATTTAACACGATACGAAAAAAGAACTCTAGTTTCATCTTTTCCAACCAATGAATATTCGGAATTGCAAGAAGTTCAGAAAAAAAGTGTCATAAAAATCAGCAAGTTACCTAGAACTTGTCAAGTATTCGTGAATAATACCGTGGCCATATGAAGTTGAGTACGTTAAAAAAGAATCTTTCATAGACTACTCCAAAATGGGGTGCATGCACTCCATTCGCGTCGCCCCTAAAGTGAGAAAAATACTCACTTTCCAGCCAATTTTTTAAAATTAATTTTCATTTGAAATATCGTTTCTTTACATTTACTAAACTGGCTTTGTTCCTGTCATGATTTGATCATTATTAACAAATTCAAGGGTATTACTACAATAAATTTGATAGCTTTTACCTAACTAATACTAATACTTTTCAAAGTAACTAAAAAGTTCTAAGTAGAAGCTCTGAAAGATTCATCATCATCATAATCCATCCTCTTGAACCGCATTAAGCAGTGTGAGGAGGAAGTTTATAGAGCCTTCTCCAGCTCTGCCGTTCCTCCACAAGACGCCTTCTATCGTTCCATTGAAGACCTCTTCTCTGGAAATCGTTCTTTACCTCATCTTCCCATTTCCTTCTATGCCGTCCTCTTCCTCTCCTGCCGTCTACTTTAGCTTCATAGGTTTCGCTAGCTATTCTGTTTGGTTCCATCCGCAGAAGATGTCCTAGCTATCTCAGTCGATTCTCCTCAATCACATCATTGGCCGGCTTAATATTGAGGTTCGACCTAATGGTGGTGTTGCGTACTCTGTCTCTTCTCGTTTTCCCCTCAATCTTTCGGAGGAATCGCATTTCTGATGCTTGTGTCCTTGATTGGTGTTTCTTTGTCAGCGTCCATGATTCTGAAGAGTACGTTAAAATGAGAAGAAATGTCGATCTGAAAACAGCTACTTTTGTTTTCTTATCCACCTCACGCCTGTTTATAAAACCTTTCTTAACTGCTTCAAACATCCTGCTCGCAGCAGCGATTCGCTCAGTCACATCTGAATCGATGTATTCATTTCATTAAGGTGTGCACCCAAGTATTTGAAGTTTTCTGCCTGCTCGAGGAATTTGTCTTCGACCCTGATGACGCGCATATTTCTCCTAGGCTTCTTCCCAACCCTCATTACTTTCGTTTTTACAGGGTTGATAATCATATTAATCTTCTGAAATTCTTCTTTTATTTTATTAATGTTGTACTGAAGATTCCTGTCACTATCCGAAAGAATTACAACGTCATCAGCAAATGTAAGTATTGAGAGGCTCACCGATCTCAGGTTGGCATATCCCAGGTGAAAATTCACTTCTCTGAAAGATTATTTGTATATAAGATTATATAAAAATATTACATAGAGCATTACATCTTTGTCTTAAAGCTGCAAACAAAATTGAACCGAAAATATAATGCTCATAAACCGAAAATTACAATTTTTTCGTCTCCTGAAAATTTTTAGTTCTTGTCCTTACAAACTTTTGCAGTGTGGCTGTCGATACAACATATTAATATACTCATAAATCAAGTCAGGGAATGATAAGAAGACTTTTGCCACTGTCACTGGACCGGTAATTTGTCACTGCTCCGAGGCTGTCACTGGAACACTTGGAGCAGTGACAGATTTTTCCTGGATCGTCACATCCCTATCTGGACCCTACATCGTCAATAGAAATTTGTGATGTTGCCAGATTGTGATTTTCGCCCCTAGGATATGTCCAGACTTATAGGATGAATGATAAATGTTTCGTATTGAATTGGGTATTGCAGACTGGATGAGGCTTAAGACGAGCGTTAATTGTATTATAGCGTGGAGCACGGGCGGATCTACGGGGGGGGGGAGCTTTCGGGCTGAAGCCCCCCCCCCCCAAAATGGTAAAATATAACCATGTTTTATCGAAAAAAAATATTAAAAAAGTATCTCTTAAAGTATTATTATTCGTGTAATTACATTTAAAAGGGCTTTAGGAATAACTTAAACACCATTTCATATAGGTAGTTAGTTTCTTTCCTTTTTTCCAAAGTAATTATCGTTATTTTTATGAAAAAAAAAAATCTTTCGGGCTGAAGCCCCCCCCAAAAAATAAATCCTGGATCCGCTAGTGGCGTGGAGGAAGATTATCCTGCCCTAGTTTCGGAAGGAGATGCAATTAACGCCTGATAGAATTGAATGATATAACATTTAAATAAAGATACATATATTTATCGTTTTTATTATTTTTATCCAGTATTATAACGGGATCATATTTTAATAAAG